ATACTACCCAGAGTCAGTGTTCACATTTGGGCCAAGCCTGTGGCCCTATCTGCACAGCTGTGTTTTGCCATCCACCCCCTTGCCCTGCAGCCTGTGGTACACAGTGCCAAAGAGCATGTCCTACTTGGCTCCGTGACTATTGGTGATGTGTGTGTCTTCGCATTAGACTGTCACCCTTGAGGGCAGAGGCCGTGTGTGTATACCCAGGCCTGGGGCATAGCTGGCTTTGGAGGAGGGTGTCAGCGCTCTTAAGTGAGCACAACAGTAACATTTTTGGAGAGGCAAGGCTAGCTCTCACGGGGCCAGGCCAGCGTAGGGAGTTGCTGGAACTGTCCCTAGCTTTGAAACAGATCTCAGGCTGCAAGGCTAGCCCTCATGGGACAACAGTACCCCCAAGGAGCCAATGAAGGGCTCTGCGCAAACCTCCCTGGATTGAGTCTCAGCGTGTCACAACTAGACCTTCTTTGGGATCTTCTTATCTAGCTGTGCCATTTAACAGAGGGGGAGACTGAGGCGGAGAGAAGGAAAGAGACCCACCCAAGATTGTGCAGCAGCTCAGTGGCAGGTCTGTGGCCAGCACTCATCTCGGTATAAAAACATCCTGAGGCCCTGATAGGGAGATTGCATCTCTTCAAAATGACCCACAGCAAAAGAAGCAATAAGCTCTCTTATTTCCAGACAATTTCAACAAGATGCCAAGACCATTTAAAGGAAAAAGAATGGTCTTTTCAACAAATAGTGCTGGGACAACTGGAAATCCACATGCAAAAGAATGAAGTGGGACCCCTACTTCACACCAACTGTAAAAATTAACTCAAAACAAATCAGTGACCATATTGTAGCAGCCAAAACTATAAAACTCTTTGAAGAAAACATAGGTATAAATCTCTGACCTTGGCTGAGGAAATATTCCTTAGATGTGACACCAAAATCACAAGCAACAAAAGAAAAAATAGACAAGCTGGACTTCATCAAAATTTAAACGTTTTGTATTTCAAAGGAAACCATCCACCAAGTGAAAAGATAACCCACAGAATGGGAGAAAATTTTTGCATATCACATAAAGGACTGATAAAGGACTTGTATCTAGAAAGATAAATAATCCAATTATAAAATGAGCAAAGGACCCAAATAGACATTTCTTCAAAGTGCATTCAAATAGCCAACAAGCATATGAAAAGGTGCTCAATGGCATTAGCCACCAGGGAAATGCAAATTGAAACTGAAGAGATAGCAGTTTACACCAATTAGGATGGCTGTAAAAAAAAAGATCGACGGTAACAGTGATGTGAGAAATTGGGACCTTCATACACCACTGGTGAGAACATAAAATGGTACAGCCACTTTGTAAAACAGCCTGGCGGTTCCTCAAATGATCAAACACGGAGTCACCATATGATCCAGCAAGTCTACTCCTAGGTATTTACCCAAGAGAAATGAAAACACGTATCTACACAAAAATGTGTACATCATGCCAACCATATTTGAAAAATAAAAAATATTTTTTAAAAATTTGCACACAAGTATTCAG